TCTGCCTAAGGGGAGGGATGCCTTCGTGGAGGACTTTCTAAGGGAAACTGGCTCGTATACACGTTACACATGGGGAAAACCACGAAAACGCCCATGCAGCCAGCCCGTTCGCGGGATTCGAACCTCGGACCGAACTACCAGTGTTCAGCGACTTTAACGCTCGGCCGCTGGTGGGCACGAAATTCCGAGGAAACAGTTTCAATAAATCAATGAAATTATTTGGATAATGTAAACTAGACCAATCGGTAAACAATACACAAAAAATTTGCGATGATTTTGCGCATTAAGAATTATATATCGTCATCGGCCAAATCGATGCAAACTGACGGTTGAAAACGTGTATAAAAGGCCCCCAGTGGCCAAGCGGTAAAAGCCGTTGAACACTGGCAGTTCGGTCCGGGTTCCAGTATGGGCGAACGGGTTGACTGCATGGGCGTTTTTATGGTTTTGCCCATGTGTAATGTCAACATTTCTCCGTCGGACATTTCTCCCTTTTCGTGTAGTGCCTAATGGCAGTCACGTAATAAATTGGATAATAAATAAAAACTTTTATTTGGCAATGCAGTTCTGCACTGCCACCTTCCCGAAATCTGAAATTTCCGCAATTTTTTCCTCGAAAGATTTGCCTCTGGCGATTAAAAAACCTTCATATTTTACAATTTTTCTACATTATTTATCTGTTTATACATATATGTTTAACAGGGAACTTTACATAATATTTTTTGACCGTACAAAATCAGCTGTATATTTTTCACATCAATCAAAATTTACAGATGTAGAGGTTTCTTACGAGTGGAATCGAGTGCATTTAATAGTCTACAAATTATTCTACCTGCCCCCCCCCGGAAAAAAAAGAAAAAAAAAATCTTGGGCCTTAGCCTTAACATGCAACAATCGCTTTGTAATAATTATTAAGAAATATCTTTTCTTACACAGCTCGTTGTAGGTGTATTTCGCATTTTGCGCAAAACAACACGATTGGCGCTTCTACTGCATTAAAATAAAAACATGACATGATTATTAAAAAGTGGTGTGGTGTTTTGTATTTAATTATGGCAAAGCACACTAGGGCTATCTGCCTTATATACTTTTTTTTTAAATTTATTTTTAATTACACTGAAATTCTAGTTAATGTATACTATTTTTTGTCCAATTGCAGATTGTGAACAATTACAAATGTAACCGAGTCCATTAATCTATTACAAGGCCAGATTTGGTGGTCTCTTTATTATGGAGGCACCTAATAGGTAGACCACCATCGCCTTACCTATGAAAGGACGGACAGTTACAACCATGCCTTCTCCGGGATTCGAACCCAGGCCCTTCGGTATCGCTGGTTTCCCTGACCACTATACCGACTGGGCGGCTATTAAAAAGTAATTCTGGAATAAGTTCCTTTATATTGAATTCTGTAAACAATTCAGAGATATTACTGAAATTGATAATGAAGTAAAATGAACATTTCACGCTAAATGTACCAGTGGCCAAGTGGTTAACCCTCTTACTGGCATGAGGTTTGGCTAAGAAAACTTAAATTTCCCCAAACTGGAATAAAAAAGAAGTAATTTCTTGATTTTAATGCCAAAATATTCCTGGTAGTCTACCAGAGGCCGAGCGGTAAAAGCTGCTGAACACTGGCAGCTCGGTACGAGGTTAGAGCCCGGGGAACGGGCTGGCTGCATGGGCGTTTTCGTAAGTTTTCCCCATGTGTAACGTGGATAAGAGCCAGTTTCCCTTAAAAAGACCTCCACGGGGTATCCCTTCCTTTCTGTGTAGTGCTAACAGTAGAGCACATAAAAAGTAAAATGAATAACCCTGCTAATTTATGTAATTTAAGTACTTTTGATTTACTGTCTTAATTTCTTGGACATATTTCAAAATGCATGTATATACACTTTCATAAAGACGTCATAAAAATATTCTAAGTCGTTTATATACGGCCTTGCCTATATAAAACATATGAATGAAAAAAATCTTGGTTTGGTTGGTCTTGCAGTGTAAGACAGTTGAATACAGATTTTTCAAAAGCAGCTGACCAGACTGTTTTACAGAAGTCAAGGAGAACGGGATTATTTAGATTATAATAAAGCATACTAGGGCTATTTTCCTGAGAAGAAGCCTTTGTGAAGATATTTCAAAAGACAACTGTTTACACAAGGAGAACCCCAAAACTCCCACACAACCAGCCCATTCCGCAAGGATTTGAAGCTCGGCCACTGATGGGCTGCCAAAGTTACGTACTCGTTGGTAAATTTCACATAACTGAAAAGTTACGCGAAATTTTCAGTTACGTGAAAAGAGTTATGCATGATTCAAAATTTTACATGAAAACAGCAATTTAGTTATTATACTTTTGATGGCTATCGACAATCTGAGTTCGCATTCCAATTACGCACCGCAGTGGGGGCAAATGAACACAGCTTGCATTACAAATTTACGAGTGGCAGATATCGCTGGTATTTGTAAAAAAAAAAATTGCTCAGTTTCGCAACCGCCGAAGGGTTATACATGTATGACTAAAATTTATACTAAATGTATTTAGATATATTTGCAATCATTGACATGTGCATATCCCATTTTGAAAACAGGATCGCAAGCTAAGCATGCAGAAGAAATATAATTAAGTTGTTGACTACTTTTGATCTTCGTACGAGCTCTGAAGCGGTGTTCCATGAATTCTATTAAGTGGCCAAATGCAGCCGGTGGGCAATAATTTTCCTTTCTTTCCTTAATAACACAGCTTCAAATCTTTTGGTATTTACACCACGGATAGAAGTAGAGTCAACCCAAAAACTTTCTTCCTAGGGCATCTCAAAAAACTTTCAATGGGGTCAAAAAGGTCGGGCAAATATGGCACCACTCAGTGCCAGCAGTAATACCTTCAATCGAGGTACTCATCCGCAAGGTTTATGTGAATGAGCATTATTGTCTATAAAAATAAATGCTAGACTAACTGCAACAATGTATGGTCTCACAAGGGGATCAAGGACTTCATCCGATGTCTTTGAATCTCTACAGTACCTCTCTAAAGATTTGCTAGTTGGTGCGATAGCTCAAAGAAAATCCAGTCAGTATTACACTGCCAACACTGAAGGTGTGATGTTCAATGATATTACGGGGATTATTCCATGTTTCTTCTCTCCAGATCTTCCCATGATTGTAATCGGATGTTTAGCTTAATAAAAAGTAAATATGTAGGTAGAAATAAATAGATAGGAATTTTATTTCCTTTTTTACGATGTTCGAATCCATATTTATAACACTGAATAATATTATTTGTGTAAGTTTTTATTAAAACTTGTGCGATATAGATATAAATGTGACAAAATTCGATAAAACGTTATTTGCACTGCAAAGAAAATTAGAGTTGGAGAAGGAAAATGCAAGTAAGTATGTTTCAAACGCTGAAGTTTTTATAGTGAATTTTATTAATAATTTTAAATTACAATTTGTAATCAAAGTATAATTTTAAGCACAATGAAGAAGTAATAACCTTACCTAAGCTATTATAAAACAAGCAAATTCTATATTAAGGATATTCTCAACGAAGAGATTGTGACCGAGGAGAGGGTCACACAATACTTTCTGGAATCGCAGAAACAATATAACGTAATATAATACCATAATGTCGTATTTGGAGTTCTTATTTAAATAAATACTAAGTAATTCTTCTGATACTTAATTATAATAAAGTTCTAAAAGCTATTCATACAGTTGAATATGTGGTCAAAATTTAGGCAAAATTATATTGCAGTTTTGTTATATAGAAAAACGTCAACTTAAGATCTCAAATTTTAAAAATTATGCTTCTGCTCAAATGATGCAGGAGTGGAAAATTTTATCGAATGAAAAGGAGATGAGTGAAAAAGTCTACAGCATGGGTTCTCAAACTTTTTTGCTTTCATACACACACTTTCACAAGCTCATTCTCTCTTTCCTTTCCAAAACTTAAAGAATACATATGTATTTATTTAGATTATTTTTTAAAGTGTTTTGGCAATTAAACAACAAACAGTATTAAAAAAAGATAAATACCAAAGCTTGAATAAAAGTAGCTTTTATATATTCATAAATTAAAATTATATACTGAACAGCTAAAAGTTAATCACATCCCCCCCTCCCGATTGAGAACCCCTGATCTGCCTGGTATAGATAATCCCATTCTATACAACTACAATAGCGTGATGTCAGAGAAAATATTCAATTATTAAAAAAATAGAAATACGTAAATAATATAAACACAAAAATGAAAGCAAACATATGAACTCAAAGTTTAATCACGGCGAAAGGAAAAGTCTAGCATTGTAATTTAAAGGAGCATTACGGTTGCCAGACATTTATGGAGTTTTACAATCATCTCAGGAAAAAGACATTTATGGCTCGTCGAGGGCTTGATAAGATTAAAGGCTTAAGCAACTGTTATCAGAATCTGTAAAAGTGCATTTGATGTTCTTTTTCCTCCGATGTAAGTTTGGCCTGAAGCATCAGAACGAAGCACAAAAATTAAAACGTCCCAAAAGTGACAAATAATAAGCAAATAGCGGCGTGTTAAACATTCAGGATACACGTAAATGTAATTACGTAATACGGAATGTGTAAATACGGAAACAGTATCTGTTTTAAATGCATCTTTTTAAACACCAAAAAGTTCTGAATCGGAAGAAAGTGCTTCAGAATATAAAACCACTAAGTCTGCTCACAAGAAAACGGAAGATGTCTAGTTACTATTTATATAACAGCACTATAATATAATAGTAAACCGAAAATGATACTGCTGTATTACAAACAGTATCATTTTGAGGTGATCTCAAAATTTCCAGGTTATAAACCGTCTCTAACGACACGGTAACTAAACCAATTTCTCATCTTTGAATCTTTTTTGTTTTTGACGGTTACAACTGAGAAACGCTAAAAGTAATATTTCATCCAAAAAAAATACCAAAAAATACTCTGCGGTGACTGTTATTTTACGTTATAATTTAAAAGACGTCAGTGCTTACCTATCGGATGAGGTTTCATCATGCCAGACATAAATTGTGAATACGGTGCACAGTTCGCAAGGCGTGCGGTTGCTATGGGAACACCACGTGCTATTGCGATCTAAGTTGGATACTAAGTCTTTTTTTCTATGGAGGAAAAAAAAGAGAAGAAAAAGACATTTTAGAAACGAATGTGTCTACCAAGTAAAAGGTTTTCAATTTTTGGACTCATAATTGGAAATAATGTATAATTCACTACTAACTAATCTCAGGAATAAATGTAATTGCATTGCACGCGGTTAACTGTCGATCTGCGAGGAAAAGCATAAAAGTTCTTAAACAGAGTTATCGCATCTTTCGGTAAAAAAATTAAGAGAAGCTTTGCAAATTCATATGAATGCGTACCTGCAATATCCCATGCTACACATTTCAATTCAGAACTAAATCCTGAAAGATAGTAAAAGAACAGAGACAAGAAGGTAAGGTACCCCCCCTATTGTTCCTATCTTCCGTTCCATCCTTCCACTTGAAGTTTTGCATCTTGAAAAGAAACAGCGTTAAACAGGTTGTTATATATTTTTAAGCCTAACGTTTGTGTTTGGAGTTTAAGTCTGGAGCTGTACAAAAGAATTTTGACAATTTCTTTTCCACCAGTCTTAGGGATGCGTATTAAAATGATTAAAAACACAACAACGGGAAATACAGTAAAAAGCACTGGAGATATTCTAAATTGTCTTATATGTAATCTGACATCTTACAAAGGCTGTCTGAAGCACAGCAAAGATTTCTGGAAATTTTTGATGAGTTTTAAGAACTCTAAGAGCGGATTTAAATTTTAAACTGAGTTTAATCACCTTTCTATTACTAATGGAGAACACAATAAATTCTATTTTTTGGTCAACATAGCTCAGATTTCGTTTTTCATGTAAATCACAGACAGTAAATACCCAAGATGTTTTTTCCATGCAAAACTCAGAGGGCCATAGTGAGAAAAATTATTAATTGGTAAATCTCATATTCATTTAGCAATCTCATACATAAGAATACAAGCTACAAATGCTATAATATTCATACAGAATAATTAGCTAAAGAACGGTAAACAAGCGTATAGCAATGGTCATAATGATTTAAATTTTCTGTGGAATATTTTGTTGCTTTTCATTTAATAATATAGAGAATAGTATTATTTTCCTCACTAACGGTCAAATAATAAGACAGTGGAAAACTAGCCGTTCTTCCTGGATTCGGTTCGCTGAAACAGAGCTTACTGCATGGGAGTTTCATGGAATACATTTCGTGAAATACGTATTTTGTGGATTTTGATTCGCTTCCTGGATAGCTCTAGGAGTGTGAAATGAATGTGAGCTAGTTTCATTTAAAAAGACCACGGTCCTTGCGAGCAGATAGCTATGCAGCCAGCCTTTTCGTCGGGAACCAACCCTTGAAAAAGAACTACCAGTGTTCGGTGGTCTTGTTATCTCGGCTACTAGTGGCACGAGCAGGAAAACAATGATGGCGCTTTCGCTATACAATAAAGTGATCTTAGTTCGCTCCTTATCTCATTTCTTTTCGGATTTTTGAGAAGGCTGTAGAATTCTGATTTACTTTTAATTATTTTTATGTTGAAGATTATTCAAGGCACGATATAGAAAATGCTTTTATTATAAAACCATTTCAAAGTTCAGTTCAGCGGAGTAATAGCAACAGAAGCTCAGAATGTTTTATCAATTCGTTCTGTGTTTGAAAGTAACAGAAGAGGAAATTATCTGCAAAATGTAATTTTGAATCTGATCAATTTACATATTCTTCCCACAAAAATATTGTTTGGTTTATTTAATTATGGCAAAGCTCTCGAGGGCTAACTGAAGAAGGCATAATCCATTCCTAAGGAAAAGGGAATGAATGCTTTCGTGGCGCACTTTCTAAGGGAAACTGTCTGGTGTGCAACATTACCACGAAAAACTATGTAACGAAGAAAACCACGAAAACGCTCATGGAGCTAGATCGTTCACCAGGATCTGAACCCCGAACCAAACTACCCGTATACAGCGACTTTACCTCTCGGCTGTTGGTGGCTTCTCTATAAAAGAAGCTATATAGCAGCATTTTCCAAATTGTGTTCAACAAATAGTCACTAAGTGTTCCCAGAAAAATTCTGAAACTAATTAGTTGATTTGACAACAGATTTAGGCGTAAAATAAAATTTTAAAAAATTACTGTTAATTGTTTTAAGCAAATAGTTACCAAGTGTTCCACAAAAATTATGAAACTAATTAATTTATTTGACAACAGGTTTCGGCGTAAAATAAAAATTTAAAGATTACTGTTAAACGAATGTTGGATAAGTTTCTCAGAAGAATATTCGAACTTTTCAAAAGGAGCATTCAGTTCCTTCGAGATCGTATTCGCGCAAGGCAGGGTTTCCACAACTCCAGGTTTCTAACATTGTGCCTGACATTAAAATAATTTATAATTTGAAAACTCGTACACATTGAAATCATTGAAAACTAAGTATTAAAAATTTGTTTAATATTATTAGGTTATGTGTCATATTTTGTAACGTTAAAAACTGGAAAACGTTTCTTTTAAGTATATGTTATAAAGACTGGAGTAAATGTCAATTTTTTTTAGCTAATAGAGATCAAAGTTATAATTTATTATAACTATAATCTCTAATTTACTCTAGTGTTCCTTAAATTTTAAGGCTTAAAAAGTGTTCCGCGATTACAAAAATTTGGAAAACACTGCTGTATAGTATCGATATTTTTCGTTTTAAAAGAATTCTGATGGAAAGTATTAGGTTTTTTTATGTTATCTTAAGTAAATACGACAAGAAAACTTTCCCTGTCTATTAACACTATCTTCAGCGACATACCCGAAGCACCCGACAAAGGGAAAAGGTTAAATGTTACAAAAACTATCTTGCTCAAGCTATTAGATTCTCTGCCGGTCAAAGTCGTATTTTTTCATCAAACAAGAAAAACGTTCAAATTTAGTTTAACGATCAAGTTATCTAAATAGCTTATGCTAAATAGAGTTACTTTTTAAAGAAAATCGTTAACAAAATCAGATTAAGAAAGGTTTGGGAAAAAATATGATAACTCTATAAATTAGGATTGTTAAATAGGAATTCTCCCCTCCCCTCTTCACTTTTGCTGGGAACGCAAAATAAAATTCGCCAAAATGGAGACATTCATTAAATCCGTGTGTGTACATAGGATGATTGAAAAGTTTTGATACAGATTCTAAAGGGCTTGTGTATTTTATTTATATATATTTTCTTTTTCCGATCAGAGTCCTTCACAGTGAATTACACGTTTTTCATAGCGTTTTATAAATGTAGAGGAGCGGATGTCGGGTTTTTCACTTCCTTATCTAAAAAGAACGTTTTGCTGCGTAATTGCCTTTTCAATGTTCCGAACGCCCAGAAATCAAATATCACTAGTTCAGGCTATATGCTGGTTATTTCTAGTGTTGACAGATCGTTTTCAGACAGTGATGACAATCTAGAACAGCAACAGGCATCCAGAAATTATCTTGAAGCAAAACCATTATTTTTTAAGCATATTTTATCTTTTCTTCCATTCATAGCCACATGCAAATGTTTACAGAGATGCTTATATGACAGAGGTACTCTTTGCTGTCTAGCCATGAGTTTGCCAATGCTTGACGTCTGTAACCGCAGTGGAGAGCATGCTTTGTCAATAACTCGCATATTACCATTTCTATGAGCCTCATCCAATCAAATACTAAATGAATGAATGCTAAAAAGCTTGGCTAAGTATTTCATCATCGTACGTATATTGTAGCAATTCTAGCGTTTTATTATGTTTGTTCCCCAGTTTAAACACAAAATTCAATTACTTCTCTGCCGAACAGTTAAGAGGTACAGTGGATAAAAAAGTATTGGCAATTGACCTATAATTGATTAATCTAGCTAACAAAGGAAATCCTTGACAATTTTAGCTGGACATAATGAACGCAGGAGGCAATAAAGACACAAATGTAATGAAACTTTCGTTTTAATATGGCCTTTTACACAAAATATATAACAAAAACGTAAATTTGTATGTCATTAAAAGTATTGGCAAGATCATACAGTAAAATGTGGGAACAAAATTTAATACTTTCTACTCCTCATAACTTTTGCATTTATAACAGCTTGCAATCTATTTCTCATAGAGAAAACCAAAGTCCTGGTTGTTGAAAAAGTCATGTTGGGAAAAACCTAAGTCCTGATGAGAATTTTGTGCCATTCTTGCAAGAATATATGCATAAGTTCATCTTTACACGAAATTTTGTTTCCTGACCTCTATGTCCAGTTTGTGCTATAAATATTCAATTGAATTTATGTCAGCCGATTGAGGCAATGTCTTTAACTGGCGAGGAGCGTTACAGAGTACGATTGCCAGGTGAGGTTCACTGGATCCCTTCGGATCATTGTCCTGTTGAAACACAAATGATGTTCCTAAGCCAAGTTTTTGACCACTAAATTTCATGTTATGAAGCAATATGCCACTATACGTTAGTGGTGTCATAATAATTATAGCCGAAAATATCGCGGACGAAAACGTCGGGGAGAAAACAACGCAAGGCGAAAACGTCGTGGTACAAAACATCGTGGGAGTGAACATCGCAGTTCTAAAACATCGTGGTACAAAAACATCGTCGTCAAAAATAAAGCGGTTTAAAAACATCGTCGTCGAAAATATCGTGGTAAAAAATAAAGTATCTACAAATTATCGCATGACGATAACATCACAGACATGCTTTTTTCAGGCTTTAATAACTGTAAATGGATATTCTCATAATGATTTGTGAGGGCGAGATGGAAAGAAGGATAATTTTTACTTTCATATTTTTTATTAACTAATAAATTTTTGCTGAAAAAATAAGAAGGAAACTTAAGCATAGAAAATTAATGCAACTTATAGCACTTAATAGAATTTTAAACCGACAAAGTTAACTAACAAATGCCATTAATAAATCATTTTATATAAAGTTTTTACTGGTAATTTTTCGTGAAAAGTATATAATCTATAAGTTGCATTTAATTTTCTGTGCTTAAAAGTTCCCTTCTTACTTTTCAGCAAAAATTTATTAGTTAATAAAAAATGTGAAAGTAAAAATTATCCTCCTTTACATCT